CCCTTAGGAAAGTCACTAAAGTTGTTAAACTCCGTATTAAAATGATCGGGTTTGGAATGTACAGAGTTACTTCCTTACATCTGAATTTATAATTGCAGCAGCAAATCTGGCACACCACGTTCATACTTGGACGTGGATAGACTACACAACTTCAGAATTTTCATAAATTGAAACTCAAAACTTCAATCATTGTCGGTTGTAATCCCCATAAAATCGGAAATTTGTTTCAAACTTGTTTCCATATCTCTATTTTTCATCATAGGACGTGGGTTTAAATTGTGATTCAATTTTCGTACTTTCCACTATTCAAATTGGCAACATTTCTCAACTTCAAACCACAACAATCAAAACGAATTACTTACCTGCTATGTGGTATGATACCTTCGTTTGATTAACCTACTTCAAAATTTTGATTTATTGATACATGTTTTTCCTTCTACGAATTAAAGGATATGAAGAATATTACATTCATCCAAGATCTTGACATAGAAAAAGATGACTTCACTGTGAAGGTTCGAATCATTAGACTGTGGAATCAACCGGTGTTTAAAAACCTGGATGAAATATATTCCGTCGAAATGATATTAATGAATGAACAGGTAAATTTTTATTTCTTTTTCAAGCTTTAGTATTGTAATCATCATATTTTATTATTATCTAAGCTGTTTAATATCTTCACATCATCACTACGCATTCCTTTTTCATTTTTATGTTTTTAGGGCACTAAAATCCATGCAAATGGCCTACAAAAATGGGTGCCTAAGTTCAGGAATTTACTTCACGAAGGGGCTGCAATTTTCATTAAGAATCCTACAATTGCTCGACATGCATCGAAGTACAAGTTAATTGATAATACAAACAAGTTAAGTTTGAATTACAAAACTTCTGTCACAAGTTGCCGGGATTTTAAGGGTTCCGGTTTTGGTTTCTGTCAGGCCCCGATATTTTTTATTTTTATTTTTTTATATATAATTTCTTTCGAGTGCCGTGACGTCAATCTTTACAACTTAAGTCTCGAACAAAATACGAACTTAAATTTCCAACGCATATAATATGTTTAACATAACTCGTTACATAATTGCGGAAGCGTAAAATACTTTAACATAATCCATGCTAATTAAAATATCTAATCAAGCATGATTCAAAAACATAGTTTCGTCTTTCTTCGTTCAACTCGTCTACTGACAATTGATACCTGAGATATATACATGTRTAGTATAAGCAAAAAGGCTTAGTGAATACAATATGGTTTCATGATCGCATGCACACATAAAACAACGTTTTAGCATATCTTAATTATTATCTTGCAAGTGAGGCCTCGGCTCGTCACTTCTCTATGCGTATGTGGCGTATTCTATGGACGAGGACTCAAAGACCTCGGAATTGCAAGCCCTCCTTTCATGTCCAACCCACCCCGTACGGTGGACGAATCTTGCCGTATCATACTAGTTGCATATCATTTATTTGCAATAYTCACTCATTAATGCAAATCTCATCGTGACATGCAATATACATCTCATGCAAGTGACAACATAAATCACATATGCATCATCGTCATTCTTTTCACATTATACACATACTTGAATACCATATTGATAATAGCAAGTCATCATAATCTTTCTCGTCAACATCACCTTTCATATCATGCATATATTTAAATATCATGCACATCAATGTAATCAAGTTATCATCATATGCATATAAACATATCATGCATATATCATGGATAAAATACTTTTATAATAATCATGTATATATCCCATAAAAATCGCTAAATGTACTCACCTTGACTTGTTAACGTTCAGTAGGCTTTTCTCTCAAAAACGGCAACCTACATGATAATTATACCATGATATCTCATTAACGTCTAAATTTCTCCAAAAAGTCAACAAAAGTCAACCATTGTTATTCTGCCCCAACCTAAAGTCAAACTTCGTATACGAGCATCTTAGTATACCTCAAACAACTCTATTTGACCTATCGTTAACATCCACACAGGTCAAACGAACCAAAAGTCAACCCTTGGTCAACTTAGTCACTCCAAGGAAGACCAGAGCCTCTGTGGCGACCAGAGCCTCTGGTTGTATTGACCAGAGCCTCTGTGGCGACCAGAGCCTCTGGTTGTATTGACCAGAGCCTCTGTGGCGACCAGAGCCTCTGGTTGTATTGACCTGAGCCTCAGTGGCGACCAGAGCCTCCGTGGGCGACCATACTTAGAAAATAAATTAACATCAAACCAGAGCCTCTCTGGTCTCTCTTCCAGAGCTTCTAGTCTCACGACCAGAGCCTCTGGTTGAACCAACCCATAGCAAATAATTCGACTAGGACCAGAACCCCTCTAGTCTATCTTCCAGAGCCTCTGGCTTCACGACCAGAGCCTCTGGTCGAGCTAATACTTAGCAAATAATCCAACCAGGACCAGAGCCCCTCTGGTCTCTCTTCCGGAGCCTCTGGCTTCATGACCAGAGCCTCTGGTTGAACTAAGAAAATAATTCAACCAGGACCAGGCCCTCGTTGGTCCTACACAGACACTTAAAAGCTAAGATTTGAGACATACGGCTACAAAGGTCTTATAGAGGACCTACACGAAGCTAATCAAATAAGGAACATGGATGATAGTTGAGTGTTTTACCTCTAAACGCAGATAATGGATGGGCACTTTGAGCTCCGATTTCTCTCTCGATACTCAATGAGATCTTAAGAAGTTAGAATGCAAACTGTAGAGCAAAGTGAAGTCTATTTATATACTGAGGTTTTTGTCGCAATAGTTGAATAATCGAAACAATGGGGAGCTTCAAAGGAGAGGTCGGTATCATATCTCTTATTTTGAGATTTCGATTACTACTTCCTCAACTAACTACATAAGTATTTTAACACCTCCAACGAATTTAATAAATGAAAATTATCTATTTAAAGACCCGTACGATATATATATATATATATATATAAATTTTGGGTTTTACAACTCTCCCCCTCTTGAAAGAAAATTTCGTCCTCGAAATTTCAACCTAGCCAAACAATTGGGGGTACTTAGATCTCATCTCTGCTTCAGGTTTGCAAGTTGTTTCGGGGCCTTTGTGAAACTTCCAATGTACTAATATCAACGTAATCTCCTTGTTTCTTAGTGTTTTAATCTTTTGATCCGATATGTGTTCCGGTTCTTCAATGAAGCTTAATCTCTCGTCTATGCTTATCTCATCCAGTGAGACCACAACATTCTCTTTGGCTAAACATTTCTTTAGATTCGACACAGGAAATGTATTATGAATCCCTTGAAGCTCATCAGGTAATTCTAGTCGGTAAGCTACCACTCCCACTCGATTTATAATTCGAAATGGTCCTATGTAACGTGGTCTCAACTTCCCTTTCTTTCCAAACCTAAGTAAGCCTTTCCAAGGTGATACYTTCAACATCACTTTATCATCCTTTTGAAATTCAATTGGTTTCCTCCTTTTATCAGCATAGCTCTTTTGCCGATCCTGAGCAACCTTTAGTCGCTCTCTAATTTGAACTACCTTATCGGATGTTTGTTGGATTAACTCTGACCTATCTAACTGCCTTTCCCCAACCTCTTCCCAGCAAACTGGGGTTCTACACTTTCTCCCATATAACACCTCGAATGGTGCTGCTTGGATGCTACTATGGTAACTGTTGTTGTAGGCGAATTCTATCAAGGGCAAGTGGTTATCCCAATTTCCACCTAGGTCGATAGCGCACGCCCTTAACATATCTTCGAGTGTTTGAATGGTTCTCTCACTCTGTCCGTCGGTCTGGAGGTGGTAAGTCGTACTAAGCTTGATTCTCGAACCTAACTCCCGCTGAAAAGCCTTCCAGAAGTTGGAAGTGAACCGACTCTCCCTGTCGAAGATGATGGACAACGGTACTCCATGACGAGAGACAATCTCGGCAATATACAACTTGGCAAGTCTATCCAAAGTGTATGTTGTCTTTATTGGCAGAAAGTGAGCGGATTTCGTTAATCGATCCACTATTACCGAAATCGCATCATGGCTTCGTAAGGTCTTAGGCAATTTCGTCACAATGTCCATGGTGATGTGATCCTATTTCCAAACTGGGATTTCCATAGATTGCAGTTGTCCATATGGTCGTTGATGTTCTATTTTAACCTTTAGGCAAGTTAGACATTGTTCCACATAGTTGCCAACGGCTTTCTTCATCCCTGGCCACCAATACAAGGCTTTTAAATCCCTGTACATTTTGTTTGTACCCGGGTGAATTGAGTATCTCGACTTATGAGCCTCATGTAAAATCATATCCCTACACCGTCCAACCTTCGAGACCCATACACTACCTTGAAATCGTTTCAACCCTCGTGTGTCATCTACGAGGGATTGTGCGTGATCCATGATCCTCTCAGTCTTCTGATTCTCTCTTATTAAGCCGTTCTTTTGGGCCTCTAATAACTTTTCGATCAAACTTGTGGTGGCTCCTAAACTCATTGCCATTATCTGGGTGGGTGCCACGTGATCCTTGCGACTCAAGGCATCAGCTACCACGTTGGCTTTTCCTGGGTGGTAGCGTATCTCACAGTCGTAATCCTTTAGTAGCTCCATCCATCTTCTTTGTCTCATGTTTAACTCTTTTTGATCAAACAGGTACTTTAGGCTTTTATGATCCAAGAAGATCACACATCGAGTTCCATACAAGTAGTGCCGCCATATTTTCAATGCGAACACCACCGCCGCTAGCTCTAGGTCATGAGTTGGGTAGCATTTTTCGTGATCCTTTAACTGCCGTGATGCATAGGAAATCACTTTTTCTCGTTGCATAAGTACACATCCTAACCCTTGATGGGATGCGTCACTATATACTTCGAAGTCCTCAGAGCCTTCAGGTAATGATAAAATAGGGGCTCTACAAAGTTTTTCTTTAAGGGTCCGAAAAGCGTCCTCTTTTGTTGACCCCCACACATACTTGCTTGACTTTTTTGTTAAGGATGTCAGAGGGATGGCTATTCTTGAGAAGTCCTTTATGAATCTTTAATAATAACCGGCCAATCCTAGGAAGCTTCTTATCTCCGTTGCTGATCTTGGAGTTTCCCATTTCATCACTGCTTCTACCTTGCTTGGGTCTACCATGATACCCTTTTGGTTGATCATGTGTCCGAGAAATTGTACCTCGCGGATCCAAAATTCGCATTTGGAGAATTTGGCATACAACTTCTCTTTTCTTAGTAACTCCATGACTGTAYGTAGGTGACACTCATGCTCTTCTTTGTTRCTTGAGTATATGAGAATGTCATCAATGAAGACGATGATGAATTTGTCTAAGTAGGGCTTGCATATTCGATTCATCAAGTCCATGAATACTGCGGGGGCGTTTGTCAAACCGAAAGGCATGACCACAAACTCGTAGTGCCCATAACGAGTTCTAAATGCCGTCTTTGGGACATCTTCTTCATGTACCCGCAACTGGTGGTAGCCTGAACGTAGGTCGATCTTTGAGAAGTAACCTGCTCCTTGTAGTTGATCGAATAAGTCGTCTATTCGAGGTAGTGGGTATCTATTCTTTATTGTAGCCTTATTCAACTCCCTATAGTCGATGCACATGCGCATCGATCCATCTTTCTTTTTCACAAATAGCACTGGTGCTGCCCATGGGGACGAACTCGGTCGGATGAACCCTTTATCCAACAATTCCTGGATTTGGGTCATCAGTTCTTGTATTTCTGATGGTGCTAGTCGGTAAGGTGACTTAGCAATCGGTGTGGCTCCGGGTGTTAATTCAATCCTAAACTCGACTTGTCTCTCAGGAGGTACTCCTGGTAGGTCATCAGGAAACACATCAGGGAATTCCCAAACCACTAGGACCTCCTCTATAGCTCCCTTTACGAATACATCTTCTAGCTTTGATCACATATATGAGGTTAGCGTAATTGCCAGGCCGACTACCGTACATAGTGATCTCATTCCCTTCTTTATTTCTCACTCGAATTAGTTTCTTGAAGCAAATAATGTGAGCCTGATGTTTAGACAACCAGTCCATTCCTATGACAACATCGAATTCTCTAATGCCCATAGGTAATAARTGGACCTCAAAGTCTTGACCCTCAATTTCTATTGTGCAATTAGCAAAACACTCTCGCACCATGGTGATATTACCATCAGCAGTTTCGACCTCCAAGTTTTGACTAAGTAACGTAGGAGACCTTCCCAATCGCATGCAAAACTTAGTAGAGACAAAAGATTTATTTGCACCCGAATCAAATAACACTTTTGTAGGTATTTTGTTGACTAGAAATGTACCTGTCACTATATCGGGTGTGTCCTTTGCTTCTTTTGCAGTCATCTGGAAGACTCGACCCTTCACCTTTGGCGCATCCGGCTTCTTCCCGCTTGATCCTCCGAGCAACCTCGGTGTTCTTCTTGGGGCATTCCCTTTGGCGATGTCCGGGATCACCACACGAGTAGCAGATAGGTCTAGCCTTGCATTCTTTTGACATGTGCCCAGGCTTTCCATAAGTAAAGCAAACTCCCTTGCCATACCTGCATTCACCTGGATGGTTCCTTCCACATGTGGCGCAAGCAGTTWTTGCCCCATTCTTTCCCCCAAAGACTTGAGTTCTCTTKAATTTTCCCGGGCCAGCTTRATTGATCTTTCTCTTCTTAGTTGCATCCGGGACATAACTGTCCTTCTCAGCAGGGGTGGCCAGCTCTACCGCATCTTGGAAGGTAGTGGGTTTTGACATTCCAACAAGCCTCCTAAGTTCCCTTTTCAGCCCGTCAACAAACCAATTCATCTTCCTCGTCTCGGTATTCACCTGATGCTCTGCAAATCGTGACTTCTCAATAAAGATCTCCACATATTTCTCCACGGTCATGTTTCCTTGCTCCAATTGTAGGAACTCGCTTTCTARTATTCTCAACTGGAGTGGTGAGAAAAACTTTTCGCTCATTAACTCCTTGAATTCCTCCCAAGTGAGGGATGCAGTCCCAGATAGCCCCCTAGTGGCCCTAACTGATTTCCACCATTGCAAAGCATTCGATTTGAACTTGGTTGATGCAAATTGCACCATATCATTTGGTGCGCAATGACATGTCAGAAAACAACTCTCCATCTCATGGAGCCAGTTGATAGCTGCTAGTGGTCCATTTTTTCCCTCGAAAACCGATGGACCGGTGCTGATGAAGGATTTCTAACTACATCCCCTACCACCAGGTTTCTTAACCTCATTATGGTCGAAGAGTGCCTCCCCATTTGACTCCTCATGATTGTGAGATTCGTTCTTAGATGACTCTTTAACTTCATAGTCTTTACTTCTCGGAGGTTCGGTATGCTTCAAATAAGCATCAACCATCTTAAATGTTGCAGTTTGAATGCATTCAAGCATTCCAGGCAAGGCAGCATGCATGCAACGTTCCAACTCCTTGGCGATGTCCACTTCTGGGTGTGCGAGCTGAATCGTTGGTTTATTGGGACCGCTTCGGCTTTCAGTTGGGGTTGAAGTCACACCCTCAACTCGATTATCATCACGACCATTAACATTCATCTACCTTGTCACCCTCTTTGACATTCTATAGTAATGAACATTTCGACCATTAATATGTTTATGCATATTATTTTATTATATATGTATATATATATTGCTACGCGAAGAAAGTAAAATCTTCGTCTTTCTTCCTTGCTCAATGGTTGGGACTCGTCCCCTTACTAACCAGCTCACCATTAAGATGCACTAGGCATACATACAGCTAATATTATCAACCAATTTTGCCAAGTAGTATCATTCATGCAAGTATCATGTAAGTACCGCATACCAGTAGTAAGGTACAATATACTTCTCATCCAACCTTGTAAAGTTTGAGTCCTAATTAGTGAAATGTTTTCAGAATTTTTGAGATCTGTTCATTTCTAACTGTGATTGATGCTTTTCTTGCAGTTAGATATTCTATAACCTTCAAGTAAAGCTTAGGTCGGCAATTATGCATAAACTTATTATCACTTAGTACACTTCTAGATGCTTGGGTCAAACATGAAAAATTTCATAACATAGTGTGACGTAAAGTCACGTACCATGTATTACTTGTGAGAGAGAAAGTTGTTACAAAAATTCCTATTACATCACAAAAATTTGGGATAAGGTGAACCACCAGAACATGCCTCCAAAATATCGACTAACAGAAGTATCCCAAAATGTACTAGATCAGCTAGAAAGTAATAGCTAAATATAGGAAATGAACTTTCAGGTCTCTCTGTCGTAGGCAAACCTCATCCCTAAGGCATATCCGGGAGGTATGGGTCCCTCATCCACTGCTCAAAAGTTACAGACGGCTGGGAGCGCCATAGTGTGCTAACTCTTGGACTCCTTTTGTAGCACTGGACCCAGGCGGTAAGATACTCTTTTACAACACCTACATAATTTGCGGTTGCTCTTTTGTAGAATCGAGACCTATCTCCAATACGCCTAGTCCAAGTCCTAGCGGCTATTCTCCGCTCTTGCGCTAGTTGCAACCTTAATACGTGTCTTTCTTCCCGCATGTTATCCCTTTCCATCAGTGCCTTGAGGTGTGCCCTTTGCAGATTATCAAGCCATCCTCTAATCTTCTCATTTTCTCTTAAGGATCGGGACAATCTATCCTTTGACTCATCAATTGTTCCTTGAAGGGCCACAATCTTTTCTTCCAAATTTGAGCGTGTAGGAGAGCTTGGCATGTACTCTTCGGATGGCTCACATGAGGTTTCCTCTTAGATCGACCCCTGTGATAGCGTACCCCGTGGGGGTATTTGGTTGCCACTTGGAGTGCCTCGTCCCGAATTGCGTCCCACGCTATGGCTCTCACTAGAACGATGACTACCCACCGATTCGCCGTTTGGGCCTAGCCCATAAGGTGTCCTCCGCCCTCCAGGCCCACGCCCGCGTCCTCTCCCCCGGTTGATGGCCCTAGTGTGTATCGTGTGCACCATTTTCCTATAGACCATAAGGAAAACACTACGTTACCTATTGATAAGAATCAAACTTCCTTGTGATGCAAAAAATGTAATACCCCAAATTCTCATGTTCTAGAATCCTCATAAAGTTTAAGCTTAGGCTAAAAGAAGTCTTAACCTATTTCTCTTAAACTAAAGCTCTGATACCAACTTGTCAGGCCCCAATCTTTTTTTTTTTTTATATATAATTTCTTTCGAGTGTCATGACGTCAATCTTTACAACTTAAGTCTCGAACAAAATACGAACTTAAATTTCCAACGCACATAATATGTTTAACATAACTCGTTACATAATTGCGGAAGCGTAAAATACTTTAACATAATCMATGCTAATTAAAATATCTAATCAAGCATGATTCAAAAACATAGTTTCGTCTTTCTTCGTTCAACTCGTCTACTGACAATTGATACCTGAGATATATACATGTGTAGTATAAGCAAAAAGGCTTAGTGAATACAATATGGTTTCATGATCGCATGCACACATAAAACAACGTTTTAGCATATCTTAATTATTATCTTGCAAGTGAGGCCTCGGCTCGTCACTTCTCTWTGCGTATGTGGCGTATTCTATGGACGAGRACTCCAAGACCTCGGAATTGCAAGCCCTCCTTTCATGTCCAACCCACCCCGTACGGTGGACGAATCTTGCCGTATCATACTAGTTGCATATCATTTATTTGCAATATTCACTCATTAATGCAAATCTCATCGTGACATGYAAYATACATCTCATGCAAGTGACAACATAAATCACATATGCATCATCGTCATTCTTTTCACATTATACACATACTTGAATAYCATATWGATAATAGCAAGTCATCATAATCTTTCTCGTCAACATCACCTTTCATATCATGCATATATTTAAATATCATGCACATCAATGTAATCAAGTTATCATCATATGCATATAAACATATCATGCATATATCATGGTAAAATACTTTTATAATAATCATGTATATATCCCATAAAAATCGCATAATGTACTCACATTGACTTGTTAACGTTCAGTAGGCTTTTCTCTGGAAAAACGGCAACCTACATGATAATTGTACCATGATATCTCATTAACGACTAAATTTCTCCAAAAAAGTTAACAAAAGTCAACTATTGTCATTCTGCCCCAACCTAAAGTCAAACTTCATATACGAGCATCTTAGTATACCTCAAACAACTCTATTTGACCTATCATTAACATCCACATAGGTCAAACGAACCAAAAGTCAACCCTTGGTCAACTTAGTCACTCCAAGGAAGACCAGAGCCTTTGTGGCGACCGGAGCCTCTGGTTGTATTGACCAGAGCCTCTGTGGCGACCAGAGCCTATGGTTGTATTGACCTGAGCCTCTGTGGTGACCAGAGCCTCTGTGGGCGACCATACTTAGAAAATAAATTAACATCAAACCAGAGCCTCTCTGGTCTCTCTTCCAGAGCTTCTGGTCTCACGGCCAGAGCCTCTGGTTGAACCAACCCATAGCAAATAATTCGACTAGGACCAGAACCCCTCTGGTCTCTCTTCCAGAGCCTCTGGCTTCACGACCAGAGCCTCTGGTCGAGTTAATACTTAGCAAATAATCCAACCAGGACCATAGCCCCTCTGGTCTCTCTTCTAGAGCCTCTGGTTTCATGACCAGAGCCTCTGGTTGAACTAAGAAAATAATTCAACCAGGACCAGAGCCTCTATGGTCCTACATAGACATTTAAAAGCTAAGATTTGAGACTTACGGCTACAAAGGTCTTACAGAGGACCTACACGAAGCTAGAGGACCTACACGAAGCTAACCAAATAAGGAACATGGATGATATTTGAGTGTTTTACCTCTAAACGCAGATAATGGATGGGCACTTTGAGCTCTGATTTCTCTCCCGATACTCAATGAGATCTTAAGAAGTTAGAATGCAAACTGTAGAGCAATGTGAAGTCTATTTATATGCTGAGGTTTTTGACGCAATAGTTGAATAATCGGACCAATGGGGAGCTTCAAAGGAGAGGTCGGTATCATATCTCTGAATTGCAAATATTTACAAAACAGGTCCTTCTGCTAGACTTGCTCGTCTCTGACCTGACAGAGGTTGCTTTCACACTTCTGCGTTGCAGGTCTGGAGCATAGGTAAAAAACAGACCCTTCTGCATTTGCAGGTCTGGTGCAAATTTTACAGAACAGGTCCTTCTGATTTGGACCTGTTTACCTTTGACCCGACCCCTTTAACTTTCGCGAATTTACAACTTTTACCCATGTCCCGACATTCTCTATCACTTAAGGTCCGAACTTTAAACTTATTTTGAGAGTTCGATTACTACTTCCTCAACTAACTACATAAGTATTTTAACACCTCAAACGAATTTAATAAATGAAAATTATCTATTTAAAGACCCGTACGATATATATATATATATATATATATAAAATTTTTGGGTTTTATAGTTTCTCATTTGTCAAATTTGCAAATCTTATATCAAAAAGTATTCCAGAACATACAGCAGTGGGTGAGTGAATTAAATCTTTTTAGATTTATTGTATTGTTTAAATTAATTATACATTGTACTCTCATTGAAGTTAAACATGGTTATGTTAACTTTTTGATGATTACATAGACGTAATTGTGAGGTTATTGTTTGTGAGACAATGGTGACTCTTCCAGATAACAATGGAAAAGCCTAAAGAAGGATGCAGGTTGAGATGCAGGATTTGGAGTAAGTATTTTTACTTTAATTTACTAACAGCAATCTTCAGAAACTATATAATTCTTTTCTTACAATTTATTTAAGGGAATTAAAATCCAAGTGACATTGTGGGATGCGTTCGCTCAGGAATTTAATGATTATATTTCTACTAACAAGGACAACGGGATTGTTATTCTTGTAATTCAGTTTGCAATGGTGAAAATTTATAGAGGTTTGTCTGACTCATAACATATATATTTCTTTCAAGCAATGTTATGTTAACTTCCTTCATTTGTTTGTTTAAGAAAAACAATTTCTTTCTAACTCATTCAATGGTACGAGGTTGTTCATCAATTCAGATATTGATGAAATTAAGGATGTTAAGAAAAGGTCAGCAGATATTTTTTCATTTATCTCTGTTATATATATCTTATATTTTTAATAGACATTGTTGT